GCCTACCTCTGTCCATCCCTCTCTTCTCTCTCCGGTCTGTCTCTTCTCTTCTCTCTTTTCTCTCTGTCTCTCCCTCCCCTTGTCTCTGCTCCCATTTGGGTCAGTGCCTCTGGCTTCCCTCCCCCAGGGTGCCTTGACCTGTCAGCTCCCTGTCCCTGGTCTGGCCAAATCTCCATGTCCACTAGGGGGCAGCAGGTACAGGCTTTTCTGGTGGGGAGGCTGAGGATGGTTGAGGAGCTTCTCAGCCAGCCCTAGTTTGACTGCAGATCATACCCTCCACCGAGTGTCGAGACCCCCAGCCCCTCCTGCTGCAGACCCAGGAATCCAGGCCCCCAGCCCTTCCTCCCTCAGAACCCAGGGGTCCTATCCTCTAGTCCCCTCCTATCTCTTTTAGTCCTTGGTAGCCTGTGACCTGCTTGGGGATAAATGGAGATTTGACCTGGGGGACTGACAGGCACTAGCCAGAAATGTTGTCTTGTCACCACTGCCTGCCACTAAGACCCATGGTGTTGCCAGGCCAGATACCCACTGCACGTGCAGGCACACAAACAGGGACACACACAGATAGACTCCAGGAAACACACAAGTAAGGGATTCAGTCAACATACAAGGACACACACAGACACCAGTAAATACACATGAACACCAGAACTAAGGGACACCCACACACTGACCCAGTCACCCTCCAGCAGCCCTGCATCAGTCCCCTTGCCCCACAGAGCAGCTCATAGATTCACAGCACACGCACACACGGTGAGCTTCCGCCCATTCAGAGCGACTTCGGGGGACAGCACAGGTAGAGCTGGAAGGTCTCCCCAGACCCGCACGTCCCAGCTTCTGCGTCCCCGGCGCCCTGGCCTTCCTGGCCTCGCTCCTCCTCCGTGCTCGCAGCCTTTCTCCCTCTCCCGCCCCACCCCTTCTCTCTCTCCTGGTCTCGCCACTCTTGGGCTCTCTCTTTTCTGTTGCTCATGCCCCCGTCTCTCTCCCCAACTCCCTAAGTTTCTCTCTCCCAGGCTCTCACTTTTTGTCTTTCTCTTTCTCTGAATCTGTCTTTGTCCACTTCTTTGCACCTATGCTGCAAGTCTCTAACCTCTGGGTTTTTCTGAGACACTCTCAATTTGTCTGTGGCGCTTTCTTAGGGTCTCTCTCTGTCTTATCTTGTCTCTCTATCTCTGCGTCTCTGAATGTCTCTCTCAGTATCTGTCTCTGTGTCTCTGCGCCCCTCCCACCCCGCCCGCCCCGTCTCCCCATCTCTGGGCCTCTCTCTCACGGTGTCCCTTCTGCCTCCCTGCCTCTGTCTCTCTGTCCATCCATCTCTCCCTCCCTCCCAGCCCCTCCCCGCCCTCCCCCTCTCTCCCTCTCTGTCTCACTCTTCGCCTC